AGAGTATGCTCAAGTACTATCTAACAAGGGCTTATTTTCGTGATTGATTACATATTTATATTGAATTGATAAATAACTCTGTTTTTTAACGTTGCGTCATTGCAACTAATCTACAGAAATGTTACTTAGAAATCACTAAATATTTTCATATACATTTTTACTTAACTCCCAGATAGAGCAGCTGAGACAGAAGCGAGATAAAGCCCGTTATGGGCGTCAATTTCTCATCGTAAAGGCCTACAATGGTTCCCGCTTGCCTTGTTTCTCCCAGGGCCTGTGCGTATGTTTCAGCTCCCCTTGCGATGACGAACCGCGAATTCGTCTCTATCCCGGTGATCTGATCTTAGTCACTCGTTGGAGAACGTAAGCAACCAAGCTATTTCTGCTCTATAAGTGTTTTCTTTCTATTTAGAATAATTTAGATAAACGGGAAGTCTTATTTAATGATTAATTATATTTAATTGTTGAGCTTACTTCCATTTCGATTGAAAGTGTCTGGTAGATAGAATTGGAAGTCGATCATATCAGAAAACGACAGCGGATTCCTCTTAATCAGCTGCTGATTGGCTTTACTGGAACATTCTTGTTGACGTTGTTTCTGAGGTTATCTCCTTCGATTGAGGTGAAAACGTGCTGAGTTTTCGTCCGCCACATGATGGACATCATCAGAACTAAGTATCGTCCCTATAACCACATTTAAGCTAACGAATCAAGAAAACTCACATGCTTATCTCTAAAATGCGGTATATATACTATATATATGAACTCTTTGATGAGGTATAAAGTGATTTGGTTAGTTCCAGTTATATTTCAACCTCAGAGCATGTTAGTGTGTCTATCCCTGTATGTGCCTGCATTTGTTCGTATACGTGCAAAACCAGCAGTGATAACTCAAATTAATTAGAACAGATCAAGTAACGTCTATTCTCGGTCATCAAGGTTTGATGACCATCATCACTCTGTCTATATATATTTTTATCATCACTCCTATTGTGCAAGGTTGGGCACACATCTGGTTATGTTGATTAACATTTTTTTGTCTTTATGTGAGATAAAAAGAGTGGGCTTAAAGTACAGAGAAGTGGCAGCGATTAGAACCAAGACGAGAAAGGGCTAGTTGAGTTGCATCCTTTTTGCAGGCGGCTTAACATCTATATCCTTAAGTCTTTTACTTAAGTACAAG